TAGGTACACAACACAATTACCCTCAAACAAAACATTCACTTGTCTACAGAAACCCAGGCTGAACTTCTCATGTAAAATACTACATAGTCTCTCTAAATTATTTCCTTCTTCTGCATATTTTTTTTCTGTTGAATGGCAGTAACTAATACTTTTACGTTTGGAAAGCTTTTATGGAGACAGCAGGAATTGCAACAGACTTACTGACCTCTTGTAACTCTGTTTAAGGTTAGAACAGGCCCATTCCTTTTGGTGTTGCTGAAAACCATCTCAATTATTTCAGTACAGACTTAATAATTCAGTCCCAGATATTTTGTTTCACTTGGTTTTAGAGAGGATAGATTATTTTTCATGGCAGGTAAAATTTCATCCAAGGCTGTCATTACCAAAATGAAGGCAGAGGTATGGAGTTAAAGAACGGCAATTTTCTTTCTTACTTCCAAGGCTTGCAGGAAGCAGTATGACAGCAAAGCAGCTTACTAAGGCAGGAATTTGGGGTCGCTATTTTCATTTATACTCCCAGTTGAAGGCAAGTGCTTGAACTCCATAATCCAGCCCTCAAAAACCGGAGACAAACTGCTTGTACCTCAGTAAACATGGCTTTTCCTAATCTGTTTCTCAAGTCTGTACAATAAGCACTATGATGTGAAAACACCTGTTTTGAAAAAGACAACATTATTAAAGATAAAAACCTCATATGAGAAGGTTTCAAAGCAGCAAGGATAAAGGCAGGTAAAACTCAACATTATTCTAAAAGGCTGTGGTGAGTATGGGGAGAAGGGAAAAAGGAGCTGCAGTCATGGTGGACCCATCCGCTATGAAAGCACAACTTTAATATCAAACCTTCTTTTATTAAGCACCCATGAAAAAGGATATAAATTAAATTTCAAAGTGGTTGAACTAAAAACGGAGCTGTAGTTGTGATTTAAAAAACAGTAGGAGTGCTGAAGTAGTGCAGTTAAAAACTAATCATGCACATTTGTGCTTACACAAAGGAAGGAAGGTTTCAACAAGCACTGCAGAGCAGAGAGGGAGGAGGAGGAGGGCTGATCGGCCGACAGCACAGCTACCCTTTGGTTTCTTCTACACGTAAAGTCCAAGGATGTAAAGCAAGAGCTCTGTAAAATGCTGAAGATTTTAGAAGTGTAATGGCAGGTAGAAAAGTACACTGGTCTTGTATCAGTGGCAGCCCCAGTGTTAGGAGACAGTCTAGGCTTCTAGGAGGAGAAAATAGAAGAGAGGAAAAGAAGTAGGAGAGGGAAACGGGATGGGGAAAGGGGCAAAAAAGCGCAAGTCATTAGTAAACATGAACATTTAGGTAGCACACTGCACAACAAGCAATACTTCATTTAGTGCAGCCAGGAGATTTGCCAAAAGCCAGATCAGGGACACACGGTATTTTACTTTTAGAAGTGTCTGAAAATATATTGCTGGTCATGCCATGGCATGACATTGTGCCACGTGCAAAAATTAGCCATGACAAATCAAGGTTAGTGACAAATTGCTATCAAGAGACCAGCAGCTCAGGATGCTGCTTAAAAGCACAATTTGCACTGAAAACTGTTACAGAGTATTTCTATGACCCAATCTCAGATGACAGAATGAGGAGCAGGCTGGTTGGAGAGGAAGTCCTGCTAGGGAAAGTATGAACACTGAATAGGCATACTTCCCTAGGTTACTTCTCATCTTCCAGCAAGATGATGGACAGGATCTTGGAACAAGACGCATCCAGACTAAAACCATAGGATCATTCTCGATGGATTTCTTGCCAGAAATTTGTCTTTTTTTAAAAATACACAATTCCTTTGAACTCTAGGCAAATATCCTGCAATAAGGAGTTGCAAACGTTGCACTGTGAAAATTACACGTAAATTTTTTTTGTATTAAACCTGTTGTTGAGAGTTTTACTGAGCACCCCTTAACCTTTGCATGGTAAAAGCGAGCAGTTAGTTCTCTAACTCAATACCTGCATGTCATCAGTGATTATAAGCTATTAACAATATCCCCACGCCCTCCCTGATTTACTTGAGTTGCACCAGATGTGCTCAGCTTCCCTCCAAACACCAACATTCTATTTATCCTTATAAGGAAGAACAGATTTAAGAGAGAGTTTCGGTCTATGTGCTGAGTACCCAAGCCAGAGCTCTTAGTCTGTAGCTCTCAAATTCTCAAAAAAATAAAAAACCAAAACCCCACAAACCAAGTAAGCAATCACCACAGAGGGCTCAGCACTGCTGAGAATTGAACCCTTCAGAGAAACTGCCAGTTTCTCCCTTTGAGGGAAATCAAATGGGTGTAGAGGGCTCCCAGCAGCACAGCCACGGGTTTGGACACTCAAGTAAAACAGCCAAGGTAAAGTCAACCATTCACATTTTTCCTTTACCATCTGGAATACTGAACTATAGACATCCCTGCATCAATGGTTTAAACACATTGGTGTTATAATAAAAATAATTCAACAGTTAACAGAAAGTTTTGCCCCTGAGTTACTACATTAGTTTTGGATTAACGCCATCTCCTACATTAACGGTATTTCGGAGCTGGGCATCTGGTCAGGAAGCTGTATAGGCTGCCAAGACAGCACTAAGATTTCAGTCCTGACTAATTCTAACCTCTGCATACACATACATCAGATGTCTGTAGATAACGTTGCATGCAATAAAACATTTTATTTGATAGGTGGAAAAAAAACCATGTAGCAATGCTTCCTGTGATCTAGATCAGAGAGATAAGCAGGCATCTGAATTTTCAAAGAGCTTCACTGCATCTTTCCCCGATACTTTCCCCAAAGTCTGTTTCGGAATCCAACTCAAACACAGCTCTGCTTTTAAAGGCGCTCTCTGTAGCTCTTAACACTGCTTTTTGTAGCAAAAATCTGGTTTCCTTGAGCATTATCTTCCTTAGCTCTCTCTCTCAGCTACTCTGTTTCCCACCTCTGCACTGTGCCCACACTGCCATCCAGACACATCACTTCAGTGTTAAAAAGACACAAATTAGGGAATAGATCCAGCTGAAAACAAATAAGACAGCCAAAAACTGAAGGTGGCTTAGGGCCAGGGACAAAAGGCTTTAGGCAGCATCACCTATTAAATGTAGAACCAGGCACTACTGAAGTCCGTCACCTGATCTGGAACAACTTGCCTGTATTTCTTCAGAAGATCAACTGCTCTTCAATTCTGGAAACACCCTCCATTACCTGATCGAAAATTAGCATTTCTCCCTCACTCTCAAAATGTATAAGCACAGATATTTCAGGTATTCCATAGAGAAGGGGGTAGGGGGAGAGTTCATGAAGTAGTTGTGTTCTATAAATCTCCCATTATTCTGGAAAACCTAATTAACTTGATGGGTATGACTCTTCATCCTTTGACATGCTGTTTCTACCACTTTGATGTCACTTTTGGACAGCCTTTAACAAGAAAAGACGACTAACTGTACCCTACAAAGATGGAACATACGTATAAATTAAAAAGCTTTAGACACATAAAAGTATCTTTGATCAAAGTTGTTAGCGTTTACTGAGTGACTAGTTAAACCTCCAGAAAGCTAGTATTAAGTAGATAAGAAATATTTTAAACACAATTCAGAAATCCAATAAAAAATCCCAATGTATTTAATTAGTCATACCTGGTGTATCATAAATCTGATTTTATTTCTATCTCCTCTTAGTTATGTGTATTAAAGAGAGGAAGTACCCTTAGAAAGGTTCAGAAGTTTTCTTAATTTCAGTTTTATACTATTAAGTTGTAAAAGAAGAGCACAGCTTCCTTTTGATCAGATTTACAATGGCAAATTAAGTAGAAAAGACCAAATTTTATACTCCCATACTCAATAAGAACAAGAAACTTGCTCACACTCTAAACAGAATTATAGCCAAAAAAGGGGGTTAATTCATCCCTGTCTCCCACACATTCATCATCATCTCCTGGATTATTTTCTTTTTTAATTGGGGCTACACCTACAGACTAGCAAGGATGCTAATGCTGGAATATCCAAGCAATCTTAGCAATGATCTGTACTGCTGAAGCTGAGCTGGAGATCATGGAAAGGGAGACCAAATAAAGAGCTCTTACCAATGCCAGGGTAGCAACTGACTTTTGAATATTTTACTCTCAAGAAAACAGAGGTGCCACAGTATGGCCTGTCAAAGTCCACGCCCTTCTCACCACAAAAAAGGAAGCAAAATCCACTGGCTCACACCCACAGCTGCAGCGTTGGTACTGCTCATCCTAAACAGTTCAGGTGGAATTTGGTAGGAAACCCAATTCATAGTAGGAAAGTCTCCTTAAAGGGAAGTGGTGTTTACCTTTCAACATAACTGCTAAAATAAGACTAACTTCAACATACGTTAGGTAGATTAGAAAGATCATTATTTCCCATATTCCTCACAGGTTTGAAGTATTGGTCCACTTAAGTCATGGCAAGTTTCTTGTAGACAAAGTTATTCTAACACTGTATGAAAAAAGGTTCAGAAGACCTCAGTTTCAGCTTTGATATTGCTAAAGCAAATATTAGGAGATATTTACAGAAGGGTAGTTTGGGGTGAAAGGAGAATCTGCAGAATGAAAATAAAAAAGCAGTGTAATTGCAGCAGCAGCTAAGAACTAGTGAATGAAAAAACACCAAAGGATGGTGTACTTGGAAAAGAAACACCACTGTCAGCCCCGTGGGGAATAGGAGAAGCCATTCTCACAGGTTAGGGTAGAGTTCAGCTATGAATACTACGGAGTTACGGGAAAGCCATTGAGGTAGCACCCTAGATGATGCCCTTCCCAACACTGACCATGGATAAAGCATACAAGGTCTTCAGAACTAGGATTTATCAAAGCAATTTTAAACCCAGAAGAGAATGAAGTTCTGTTTTGCTTCAGATTCTATGAAAAGATTTTTAAAATGAAGCCCTCATGAGAAATAAGACTCAAAAAGAAGATGCATTTGGTCACAAGGAAGTTTTACCGCTCTAATAACAAATAAAGAGGGCAATAGGCTTCCTTCAGACATACCTGTATGGTGATCTTCTATTCCATGGTCACCGTTTTCTACAACCATTGGCCCAGAAGCTGAAGTATCTGCAAGAAATCAAAGGAAATGTCAACACTGGAAAAAGTCAATCTTAACCCAAAATTTAAAAACAACATTGTAAGGACAACACTGTAAAGTTATCAGACACAGATATATTGGGTTTTTTTCCCCAACGTTATTTTGGAAATGTTAAGGCACCCATATGGCAGCAAGTCAGTGCCACTTAAAATCCAAAGAGCTTTTCAATCACCAAAAATCTAGTCCCATGAAGGAGACTCAAGGCATAACAACTAGAAGCTTTTTTATCTATTCATCTACCATCACTTCAAACCAAGCATTCATGAGGACCAGCACCAGACTCTGGATTTTCTTCAGACAAATAATCCTTAGCCAAGATGATAAACTTCGACAAGCTTGGTGGAACTGCCAGAGCAGTTGATGATGTTGACCTTGACTTTAATAAGGCTTTTAACACTGTCACCCATAACATCCTCACGGACAAACTGACAAAGCACGGGCCAGATAATGGCACAGCGAGGTGGGTGAACAGCCAGGCTCATGGGGTTCTGATCAGTGGCACAAAGTCCACCCAGAGGCCAGCGACTAGCCATGTCCCCCAACAGTTGACACTGGGGCCAATTTTAGTGTTTTCATTAATGACCTGAACAATGGAGCAGAGCACACCCCCAGCAAGTCTGGATGCCATACAAAACTGGAAGGAGTAGCTGGGATGCCAGAGGCTTGCGGTGCCATCCAGAGGGACCTGGACAAGCTGGAGAGATGAACAAAGAATCTCACAAAGTTCAACAACGGGAAATGCAAAGTCCTGCACCAAGGGAGGAATAAGCCCAGGCACCAGTATGTGCTGGGGGCCAACTCACTGGAAGGCAGATCCTGCAGGAAAAGCCCTTAGTGGCCACCAAGTTGAACATGAACCAGCAATGTGCCCTTGCAGCAAAGGCCAACAGCATCCTGGGCTGCATTAGGCAGAACACTGCCAGCAGGTTGAGGGGGGTGATTATTTCCCTCTCTTCAGCACTGCTGAGACACATCTGAAGTGGTGGGCTCCCCAGTACAAGAGAGATAGAGCTACTGGAGTGAGGTCAGTGAAGGGCCACTATGATGAGTAAGGGACTGGAGAGTCTCTCATATGAGGAAAGACTGAGTGAGCTGGGACTGTTCACCCTGGAGATGACTTGGCAGGGATGTGTACAAGCACCCAGAGGGCAGCTGTAAAGAAGCCTGAGGCACACTCTTGTCAGTGGAGTCCAGTGCCAGAACAAGAGCCAACAGCCACAGATTAATCCCCTTGAATTTTTAAATCTTGGTCCATTTTGATCGTGACAAATTTCTTGGATACAGAGTTATCCTAATACTATTAGAAAAAAAGGATCAGAAGACCTCAATTCCAGCTTTGACAGCACACTGCTAAAGCAGATTTTGGGGAGAGATTTAGAAAAGGGTCGTTCAGGGTGGAAGACCAGCAATTCTGAAAAAGATATAAGATACTTAACCACTACAAGATTTAGTCTAAAATTTTATCTGACAATGTCAGAACAAGATAAAGAGGCACCAGGATGTACAATACTGAACTTGGAAAACATGGCAGCAATACAAGACCCAGCAACAGCTGAGGCAATTTGGAATCAAAGAACTGAGCAATAAACTTGGCTTTGCCATCTGCTCAGTGGGCTGCCTCAGGAAAACCACTCTGCTACCAGGTAGCTATCTTCAAGTGTGTGATGCTTTTGAAAATGGTGCTTGGAAACCATCTTTGGGAATAATTAAGGAATTTAATTAACATAATTTAAGAAAAAAAACCACAACCACACTACACTACTTATTCTAGTACTCAAACAGGTCTTCCCAATCATCAAGATATGCTAGTGAAATTCTATATTCACCCCATAACCTCTACACTAGGTTGCTGAGGGTCAGTAACTATCATCACTTAGGCAAACTACTGGAGGAACGCTATTTATTTTAAATTACTGCCTTTGAGATCAGACTATGGTCCTTACAAAAGCAGGCAGATTGTGCTGGTATGAATACTGGTGCAGGTTGCCAGCAGCACAGTATTTCTGTAGGCAACCACCACCATGACAGGTCATTTACCTAAACTGAAGGTACCATCCTTGGTCCAAATCTTAAAATATTTTCTAATATCTTCTTAATAAACTCTGCTTGGTTTCTAAGAATTTATCCTATTTTCCAGTTGTGAAACAGTAAAGTCAGTGCGACAATGACACTCAGTAGTATTAGTTAAACGTAACAAGCAGCACAAGCTCTAACAGCAGTTCAGCTCCTCAAGCCATTAGTTCTGCTTATTATGAAGAAACACTCAGGGCAATGGCTTAAGAAAATCCTATAAGTACATAAAATCACTCTCGAGAGACATACATTCAGTTACCTGGAGTTGCTGCTGTCCTTTCCCTGAGCTCAGTTTTAAAACAAAGCTATGTTACCAATGTACTTTAGACACAGCACTTCAGGGCTTAATCCAACCCTCAGTAAAGCAAAAGTCTTTCCAGTTCCTTCAGTGGCTCATCCTGGTGTTTTATGAAAATTCAACATGAACTTGCCAGACAGCTTATAGAAAAACATACACCTACATCCTCTTCAAGTAGCTGAAAATACTACAGGAATCCCTGGACCTGTTTCTTAGCAGTTAAACACACCAGCTCCTCCTGCTGTCAGTCTTTACAAGGTCTGGTATTTACTGTAACACCAGTAGAACTGTCTTAACCAGTAACTGGGAGAACTACTGCCAATCACTGAATTTACTGACCAGTTCAAGCAAGGAGAAATCAGGGTCACAGGATGGTTTATACAACACTGCTTCATGGTTGCCAACAGGTATGCCAGCTATCTCACAGAATAGGAGGGTCTTACAGAAAGATCTCCAAGGAATTACACAGTGGAGCTACAAAGGTCCTGCTGAACCTTCCAGTTAACAGCCAGGAAGCTGTTGCTTAGCCCAAGCGCAAGAGCTATGAGTTTTCTTAAGTCCTGCTCAAATGAGTGGTTTAATGAAGGTAGCTGACCAGGCCACTGTAGACTTTGCAAGTCAACTCTAGGCTTCAACTCATGCTAAACATGTCCAAAAAAAAAAAAATAATCTTTTGGTGGTGGGGAAAATTAACAGCAACCCCCACTACCACAACCTGCAAACTCACTCCTGTTTCTTCAGTAATTAAACTGTAATGGAAGACTTGAATGCAAAATCTGTTTTAAATTTGACAAAACAATCACATACTGCTTTCAGTTTGATCCAAACTTGATCATTACACCTCACACAAACAATACAGCTCTTGAAACATTATGTGTTCTGGTCTTGATGCTATTATTGTTATTTATCATTAAAAACAGGACTTGATCATGAATATTGCTAAATGGCACAAATTTAGTCTGCAAGTCTGTGTACATACTTGGAGCCCTGGCTTTGGGTTGCAAATAATGTTCCTGTGTAAGACTGGTCTGGTAGCACTTGGAATGAGCAGTTTGTGTGCACTTGAGGTCAGCTTTGCACTGCATGTAGTCCACTCAGTGATGCTTCTGGCAATTCAGTGCATTTCAGCTATTGAGAAAATAAACACTCCATCCACAGAAAAGTTTCATGTCGAGACTGATCTCCTAGGCAGCAAGTGATCCAAGCCAACTGGCTTCTACCAAAAGAAAAGCCAGGATATCCCACCCTCCCCTGCCAAGGGCTCTGTGAACATAAAATGAAACAAAAAACCTTACCAAAATATCAGTCAAGCCTACCAAACGCTACGGTAGGTGAAAATGAGAACAGCTCAAAGCCAGCTGTGTTTCTGGCTTAACCTTCCATAGAGCTGATGGGGCTCAAGTCTGTGCAGTTTCTGGACCACAAAGCACAAATATATTCTTTCAGTGAAGCTTTGTCTTATTCAGTCCCCTATATTCACTCCTTTCTGTACTATATTCACTTGCTGAAATAAAAAATGGCAAGACATACGTATTGAAAATCCTACATTTGCTTCAATGGCACAGGAACAAGGACTAAAGAAGAGGTGAAAGCCGTCTCCCTCTTGACCCGCTGAGCAGCACCCATGGTAGCTGTTCTCTGTGTGCACCCTGCTAGCTGTCATTAAAGCCACAAGGTGGGAAGTGATCTAAAAAAAGCTCAATTATCAGAAAGGCAGAGAAACCTGCAAGCAGATCCAATATAACCAAGATCTTTTACCTTTCTCAAAAAGCTCTGCAAACAGGCAGGGATAAGCAGGACACAGTCACACATGCATCGCATGCTCAGTCAAGCCAGGGTCTCTCCAAATCAATCAATCAGGTGAAATCTAAAGATTTGGGGCTCAGCAGTGAGTCCCCAAATGCACAGAAGAATCAGAAATGCCATGTCTTTCCTTCTGGGAAAGGATAACAAGCAGGTAAAATTGTTTCTTTTACAGTTTTAGCCTTTTTGGAAGACAAACTTCCAGAAAATCAGGTCAATTCAAACAACTCCACCCAGCATCAGTATTTTTATTTTTATGTCTCTGAAGGTCAGCTCCTTTGGAGCAAATGGGACTTATTTTAGTTGGCCAGACTGCAGTGTGAAATTATCCAGCAATCTTCTCAGGGCCAGGTCTCTTTCCCTCATATTCTAAACTGCATAAAAACAAAAACATGTCAAGATGCTTTAACTACATAATCCTCATCAGAATCACAAGATAGTATTTGCATCTGGCTGGTGGATCAAAGGATTGTTTTTATATAAACAAATTTAAGGCAGCATTCGCTAAACCGATAATCTGAAGCAAATGGACAGTGCCAATATAAAACCCCCTAATCTCCAGCAGTGACTTGGCATAGTGCACATGGAGGCATGACCACAAGTGAGCACGTTTCCACCCTCAGGCCTCTGTAGCAGGCATGGGATAGCAGAGGGCAAAGAGGAAAAAAAAGAGCTCTCGACAGGCGAGGGTGGGGTGGACACGCTGTGGACAAGAGTCATGGTACATGTTTTATCATCCCATCACACATCTGTGTACGTAGAATTGGTTGAATGCAACTTTGTCATTAGACAAAAAAAAAAAACATGAGTGGGAAGAAAAACGCTGATAAACAGAGTGCCATATAGTCAAAACTAGATGCTAACTCTTCAATAATTAGCTTAAACTGTTTCAATTCATAGGTTTAAATATTCTGGCTACAAAATGGCATCTGAACAGCAATCAAGATCATCATCTCCCAAAGTCAAAAAAAAAAAAAAGGAAAAAAAAAAACTTGCCCTTTGGCATTCCAATATGGCATAAACACTTGGTTTAGATTCTCAAGCTTCTCTCTAACCACGAGAATTAAAGAGAACTTGAATTTAAATAGAAGCCAAGGCTTGCTTGGGTTTATGTTTCAGGGCTGCCAGAGCTTTCAGAAGCACACACGCACTGTCACACGGCACCAACAGAAGCACAGCTGCCCAGCAGGTCTGGTGGCCACAAGCAGGAGACGACCAGCCACACCAATTTCCACTAAGATCCCTCTCCCCCACCCCACCCTCACACCTCTCCTTCTGACATAGGAAGCTGAGGCTTGAAGGTTTAATCACTTTGTCTAATCACCGCTTGCCTGCCATGGGATTGAACCCAAGTGAGCTAGATGTTAGAGAACCCCAAGGGAAGCTCAGTGATTGAGCACAAATATTACCCGAGTGATGCTAAACCAGCATAAAGCAACTAAGCTAGAAAAACCTTAGCTTTGCTTTGTGAACACCTAGATTTAATTCCACCACTTTAGTTCATAAAGTATGGAAAAACTTTCAAGAGCACTTTGGCTTATCAAGACAATACTTAAGGCACTCCTTCCTCCTTAGGAAAATAGAGGTATGTTGTATAGTTAAGCAGCTACACCCAAGATCCAGGCAGCTTTACAATACAATCTGAACTTTAAACAAAAAGCACAAAACCACCCCTTCCCACTGAAATATGTGGCCAGCAGACCACTGGTACAAGGCCCTAGGGCTGAAATGATCCTGCTGTTTCTGCAGCTAGGCCCTGAGATGCTGGGAGAGCAGCTGAGATCTGGGGCAGGGAATAAAAACACACACAGCTTAAGAGTGCACCTTTGGTATCACTCTGAACTATTTTTATTGTTTATTTTGCAAGTGTCTGATAGATCCGAGAGGGCACTCAGATCATGCTTGATACTTGGTTTTGTACAAAAAGACACTATCAGTATTTATACTAACCAGAAGTGTTAACATGTTCGGGCAGGAATGGGGATGGACAGACTTTGAGAGGGAGAAGGTGTTTAATGTATCATATGAGATAAAAATGCAAGTATCTTAACATCATTTACTGACTTTTTTTTTTTAAACTTTGGGGTATATGGAACACTCTCCATCTTCAGTTTCATATGCGACGAAGTGTTTAAATCTTCTTTTGCAAAAGCAAAGCCTGCTGCCTTCCACAAGAAAGGCGCTTACTCCTAGTGCAGAGAGGAGGGTAAAAAGAAAGGGAAACATGGTGGTTTGGCCTTGGGTTTGAGGCTCTTCATTTATTTCCATTCCAGGGAGGATGGCCCACTCTGCTGTGCAGCAGTGTCTGTCCAGCAGCATCACGCAGCACCAGCAGAGCCATCTCGTGGTGACACATGTGCTTGAAAACAAGCCCCAGAGCCACTGCCCAGAGCAAATTAACTTTGTCACCTCATGCTCAGGATTTGTTACCCTATTAAAAAAACTGTACACAGAGTTAAGACTCATCACCAAGTTTGTGAACAGAGTGCAGGAATGCAAAATATTCATTTACTGTGCACAAGGCCACGAGCAGTTATGCGACAGACCTAACGTTATATACACAATTCCTCAACGATAACACCACCAAGCATTTCAGAAACAACGCTGAACCAAAACATCCCACAGGAGCACTGCTGCCTGCTGCAAGCTATTAAAGCACAGTATTTTCCTTACAGTGGGAACTTGCTCCCACCTGAACATCCCCTTCCTTCACACTTTGGGATGTGTATCCTTTGCTTCACATGAGTACTCTAATAAAAAAACTGCTGCCACAGCCTCCATGACTAACTGGAAGCTCCACAGTATTCTCATAACTCCTTGGAGCCCATAAAGAAAGCAAGCTGCAAACAGCACGGCACAAACCCAAAGTGATCCATCCCTCAGCATTATGTAAAGCCCACAATGTCATAAGAGTATTACCCCAGAATTTGCCAAATTATGATGTCCAGCCAGGTGCTAGAAAGAGTAAACCCCTTTCTCCTTAAGCTATGACTTTCCAATGATATTTTAAAAGTTAACTGTTATTAGAGCTTTATTTGTAAATTTGTAGGTGACCATACAACTGCTCATCACATCTCCCTCCTCTTCGTCATCTCTCTGTACCCACGTGGTTCACCCAGGTCCATAATGGGGGCCCATCTGATCATTAACCTTGTCTATCTGGCTCCTGGGTTTACAAAAAAAGTGAAAGAAAAACCTTGAGCAGAGATGGAATAGCTAGAGCCTGACGGGACATATGATTAAACCTCATCTGACTGGGGAAAGGCAATCTCAGTGGCAGAGACCGTGCTGTCTGAACACATTCGTGCCTTTTAACATAAATAAATTAACAAGCGGGGGCTGAAAAGCCTGATCCATGAAAGCTACTTTTCTCCCTCAGGAAAACAAAGCTATCTGCAGTCATACTTGGAGCCAGGGACGTAGAAGTCTCACTGCCTTTCACACAGCAGTCCCCCTTCCCCAAAAACTTAATGTTACACTCGAGGCACTGCACTTCAACATCACTTAACACCCCCATTTAGGACCTTGTAATAGCTCACCCAGGCTCATTTATTCTATAGCCTCAATAAAAACAAGTACATTAAGCTTGACTATATTTTTTTAAACATCGAATAAATCTCATGGAAGAAATAGGTATACTTATCACTTCAGGGAAAAACAGATTAGACAAACGAAGACATAACAGGATCAAATCCTAAAACTGGCCTGTAGTCAGTTGATGCTGTTTTAAACTGCAGAGTTTAACAATCCTTTGCCTCCTTGTACAAGGTAGGAAAGCTGAAAAGCATTAACCACTGAAGGCAAGCAAGCTCTCCCAACTTCTTCAGTTAGGGTCTTGTTTTCATCTTGCCAAAGATTTAGATAATGCTCATAACTTTTCTCCAGCTATCCCAAAAAAGGGAAAAACAAATCTCTAAGCCATGAACAAGACACGGCATCCTCCCCCTGGCCTTGTAGGAGGGAAACAAGGTCTGCTCAAGCAGACAAACAACTGGTTGGGTAGCCAGGAAAGCACTGGGGAGGGGAAGGGGAGTTAGAAAAGCCAGGAGACACAGATGCAGAGTCTGGCCCAGAGGTAACCTGTGTCAGCACTCCAGTATCTCTGCCTCAGTTCTGCACACAGGGCAGTTCAACGAGTTTTAACTACTGAGCAAACCCAAAAGGCCTCATTATACCTGCTTCAAGAATCTGAAATTATTTGAAATAGTGAGTTATGATGGCAATGTTCAAGCAATACACGTCTGGAAAGACACAACTTAAGGAACTTGTATTTTAAAACAATAGTATATCATGGGGTTTTAACACCGAGAAATTCTGGTGCTGGGATGTCTTAGAATACATAACTTCTAGAACAAAGCATGCTTTTAAAACTTCCTCAAACCACATGCTAAAGTGTTAACAAGTCTGCATGTTTCTCTGTTACTCCCACTTCTGCAATATTAAAAATATAGAACACTTACAATTAGAAGTACTATAATTGAATACAATAATGCACATCTGAATTGACCAAAACTCAAAGTTTCATGATCTCTTTGCCCACATCCATCCTTTCTACTTATTTGTTACCATTTAATGAACCACATTAGTATGGAAAATTCAAAACTACATTTTCTGTATTACAAGGCACCTGATAAACTTCTATACAATGCCTTAAACAGACCAGAAATCTCCACTGGATTATTTTCCCTTTCTGTAGTCCTGGAGGTCTTGTTTATTCTGGTGGGTGATCATTATTAGTTGTTCTGCTTTCATCAGGACTGATGAGCATCAGGGTTAGGGAAAAACAAAACAAAAATTTAAAAAACCGAAAACCTACCAACCAAACACAAACCCATAAAAAAAAAAAACCACAAAAAAAAACAACACACAACACTTTCTTCTGAAAGAAGTCACTAGTTTACCCATCCAGGAGCAATTTTTTTTTTTTTTTTTTTTTTTTTTTTTTTTTTTTTTTTTTTCCAGCCCCACTTGGCAGGGGGGAACACCATACAGGCAAAGATACAAAGAATTTAAATTGCTTACTGAGAAAGAAAACTAAAGGATTATCCCCTAATCTCACTGTTTCCTTTTTTACACAGCTAGGGAAGGAAATATCTGTTTAAATCTTTCCTTTTTCTAAGTAGTTTCTGATAAAGCTATTAACCCTAACAGATACCAACTGGGTTAATAAATGTTTGTACCCAGCAGAGACAGCACCATATTTTACTATATATGCACATAACCATGACATCCATATATAGGACGTACATGCAGCAAAAAATCAAAATAAGTAGACCCTTGGATCAGTGAAGAAACAAAGCTTTAGCTATTAAGTTCACAAACAACATGGACCTTAAGAAGATGCCCATCTGCACAGCCCACTAGCAACAGCAAGTCATCAATCTTTACCCCTTGGATTTGCCATTACCCAGAGTGATTGTATCTTGTACAGTTCTAATATTTTAAGACAGAAAGCACTGTATATGCAAGCGTAGCAGTCACCCACTTTGGACAGTGCTTTCTTTGAGAAGCCCAAGGCAGCCCACAAAACATTAACACAAATAACTGCATCTTCTGTGGACTACTATCGATAGCTTATTTTACCGGCCAAAGAACTGAACAGAAGGTAGAGTAGAAAAGCAAGAAACAGGATTTGATCTCAATCTTTGCTTTTCAAATAAATTGCTCAGCAACACAGAAAGTACTGTTTGAGCAGGCCTAGCAATATTACACTGAGCAAAAGTGTTCTTGGATTCTTAAGTGATGCAGCTTTTTGGTCTTGTGCTTTAGACACTTACGTTCCACCTGAATGCCGTCTGCATGGGATTTGCTTTTTGGTTCCTGGCTCCCAACTTTTGCATCATCATCATCCATCAGATTAACATAGTCTGTTTTATCTACTGTTTCTCCAACCACATCATCAAATTTCTCTGCTTCCAGAGTGGCAATGAAGTCCCTTTTCACTTCTTCCTCAATCTCGGGAGGTGGCTCTGTGAGAGCATCTGCAAGACTGAGGTTGTGATCCAAGTCAGCCATGCTTTAGCACCTTTGCAACCTGAAAAGTGACGTGGGGAAGAAGAAAAAGAAAATAACAATTTAATAAGAGGCCTTTTAAATTTACTCAGAGTCTGATGTTGAAAACTGCATGCCTCCTGTGCCATAACACAGTCAGAAACATTTGCTTTAGCCCTCGATAATTCCCAGACATTTACAAAACCCCCACAGCAGTACCGAAGCAAACAGCTAGATCATCTAAATCAGGTTTTACTGCAGAAACATTACACTGCATGTGATGTTTTATCAGAACCTTAAAGAAAAAAAAAAAACAAAACCACACCAATACCTGGCCAGCATAAACACAATCTTATACTGATTTCTGCCTTGCCCCAGATCTGCAAGTTAATTACATATCTGCAGGAGCAGAAAGACAAATGATGCGAGTGAATTTAGTTCTGGGGTTGGACTCCACCCAGGCTCCCCTATGGAGATTAGGGTTTTACATAATCTCTGATGTATGTTTCAGTGATGCTTTTGATCCCTTTGATAGGGTCCTGTAACATGGTTATGTCCTCAGCAAACCTTGCTAATACCAACAAACCCACTCTAGCCCTGGGATTTGTGGTGGAAGGTGAAGTTTTAATAATGCTTACATGAAAAAAATATAGTAACATACACATTATATATAAAGCTATAAATTGGAAACAAAGTAGAAAGAATCACCATGTATCTTTTCCTCCCTGATTTGTATCTCAGCATTCAATTTAACCTCCTGGCCCTAAACAGAAAATGTACCTGTACTCATTCATCTGGTTTGCAGCTAAAGCTTTCAGGCTGGCATAACAAATACACCCATAAACTATTCACCCCCCCACCCCCACCCCCCATTTAATCCTTTTGAAGTTGTTATTATTAGGAACAACAGCCAACCAATACTGACAAATTTATAGAAAGCTGTCTGAGGGAGCAAAACCCACCACTTCTGATTGGCAAAAGGTGCATTTCTGAGACTTTCTTTCAGAACAGTGTTAGTCAGTGTTCCATGTGCCCAACGCTATGAAAACAGCAAAGATATCAAAAGCTCCAGTCATACGTTTTAGCCATCTGCAGAAATTGTCTGGTACAAACTGTAAAAACCAAAAACCCATAAAGAGCCATTAGTATCTAAATTGGCACACTTATAACTCCTACAGCAGCTCAGATTCCTTTAATTTTGGTCTACATTTGGAAGCACAAAGCAATTTGATGCTGATGTCTATTACACTTGCTATTAGATGCACAATCTGTGTGGAGACTCTCCCTCTTAATGAAAGATTTACTCTTAGGAGCCCAGCAAGCCAGTGCAGCAGTGCCTGGTTGAGAATTAGTAGAGAACAAGGTCACGGAAGCAACAATTTCAGAGTTCCAACAACAACTTCATCCAAATAAAAGGATACAAAAGAGCTTAGGTAAAGCGAGTCAACATTTTTCAGCCAACCCTCACTGTATTAGACAAGAACTACCGAGCTACATTAGGAGAAAATGAGAAATGGAGCTGAAGACACAGAACTGCGTACGTAGAGAGGCACAGACACTCTGAAAAAAACACAATGGGCATTTGTACATGTTGGTTAATGAAGGGCTGACCCGAGTGGCCACTGCGCAGCAGTCCAGGGTCACTGACTTACACGGCAATGGCAGAACACAGATCCTCTTGTTCCAAAAAACAAAGGCTCCTACTCCTTGAACTACAGGAAATTCTTCGTCAGCAGTATACGGCTACAGACACATACCTACAGGCTCAAGCCTCTATAAGGCAATATTTCACATTCTTTACAAACAATGGTACCACACTGTTATTGTTGTTTATGTAGCTGCATGCAAGTATATTATGGAAACTAATGCAGTTAAATCTATTCTTTTTCTCTTTAACAATAAAAGGTCAGACTTCAAGAAGCAATGGCAGTTTTTGTCAGTTGAGATAAAGGCCCTGAAGAATTATCCCTTAATGGAAATCTCAAGGTGAAAGGTTTGGAGCTCTTAACCCTCTGTGCAGGGTCACAGCTGAATGAATTAAAAAAGCCATCTTTATACTTAAGTGAAAGAGTCTTGTTAAAAAAAAGCTTCTTTCAGAGTTCTTGACTATTTTCAAGACACGCGATGCATTGCACAAATCTCAACAGAACACATTACCCTTCACTGAGTCTCATCGAGGGAAGTAAGTAACTTCTAGAGGTTTTATCTTTGTGTTGGCCTGTCTCTTCGAAGGAAGAAATAGGGCTTTTAAATAGCCATCTCTCCAACAACGCCCTCCCTTGCTTTCAGCTTGAAAGTGAGATGATGGCTTTTAGGTCAGTCAATCCCCAAAACAAAAATTTGGAGCCATGAACGTTTCATCCTCATCTTCTGAAAATTTCATTTAGCGTAAGAAAGAAAGATTGTATTTAAAATTTTCAACAAACTGCTTCATGATGCTACTAGGAAATGCAAGAATCAAAACTATAGTCACAAAAATAGCTACAGAGCATCCAATAACTTGGGGAACAAGCAAGCAAAGGCTGGAGTGAACACACCAGACACAAAAAAAAAAAAAAATCTGACTTCTCTTCACAGCAGGCGTTCCAGGTTGGACTGACTCAGACTTTGCAGATGTCTCAAGTCCTTCATGTTCCCAGTATCCTCTTTGGTTCTGCACCAACACCAGCACAACAGGGTTCACCTATCACAAACCTGAAGCTTTATGTAAATAGCATTTAGGAAAACCTCCCTTTTTAACCTCACTCCAGATGCTTATAAGCAGTAGATTACAGTCCATAAACTGAACTATCACCTCACAATTTTTACATGTTCACTTCAAATTGAACATTCTGGCTATTTTAGTTTCAGGAACAAGAGTGGCCTTTTAGGAACATTTCCTCTTGCCAGCTTAATTTAGGGTCTGTCCAAATAGCAAGTCATTGCTATCCTCCCGTTCTGAAAAAAACTATGACCTGACTACTTCACAGAGAGGCCCTATAACATTTCACATCCCCTCCTCTGCATGACCCAAACCCAGTAACCATCTGCAGCCAACACCAGACCGCACTGAAACATCTATGGCCATAATCACTGTAGTGAGAGCAAGTTTATAAGCAGCATTTAGATGGCCCAGAAATCATTTAGACCTTGTCCCACTGAGATACTCAGTCCTCCAGCCTTAAACAACTGCGCTTCAATTAATGGAGCAAACGCCTCCGGAGTGCTGGTGGCAGCAGGAGCTGCCATGAGAGCAGAGTTAGGGAGGCAGTCAGGAATTCTTAAACTCAAATCAAGGTTAATCCCACCCCGATCATCCACCAAAATATGAATATTCCATCACAAGCAACTGATGGATTCACGTCATGCTTTTTTTGGTCCATGTTAATGTGGTAGCACTTTATTAAACAGTTGCCATAAAATAGCATTGACAATGTCTCTAATTCAGACCTACATAGGAACTAGGACACTAAAGCAATCTAGTTTCTGGGGAAAAAAATAATAATGAGGTTGTGCAGACCTATCAGCAGGACATTTCCTTGTTTATATTTAACTTCACAGGGAATGCAGAAAGTATGTTTAAAAAAAATAAATCAACATAACTAATAAAAGCCCTTTTGCATTTTTGTAGCAAACAGAACTGGTATCTCAGACACGTAAAAGTGCCTGGCAAATAACCTCCTGTCTTGGCTATGGGGAGCCTTCAACAGCCCAGGCAGGGGCAAAGCACAGCCAGAACACCACTACAACTGGACTAGAAGCAATTGCTCCACTTTCCAGCTCTGATGTTAGAGCAGCCTAGCTACACTAATCCCCAGACTTCCAGTTTGAACTAGTGCTTATGGAGTTAACGAAGCCAAAAGGAAAAATAAGTATATGGCACAGATTCTGCCCAAGGGCAAAAGGCAAATCCTAAAGCATATTCATGTGTTGACCAGCTTAGCGAGACAGATGCTTCCTATACAATTTTCATTCATATGGAACAAAGTTATCTATGTACAGGAAGCACTCAAGAATCTTCATCAAGACATACCTGAATACAGCAGGCATTACATAGCCATGCAAATCACGCAGTGACACAGCACGGGGAATATCAATTCTGACATTAACTTTTAAGATGAAAGGGCAAAACTGAGGAACAACTAAAGTTTCAGAAGGCAGCTGATTAAAAAAGTATTAAATAATTCTTCAGCTGCAAGACAGCTGCCAAGGTCCTCGTTTGTTAATCAGCAGAGGGAATAACAGCAGCAATGGTGTAACACCAACCTACATGACTCAAGATTTCTATCTCTGGAAGAGCCTCAGAGGACAGTCAAAGCCTCCCTGAAGAATGCCAAGTTAAATAAGTATTTTGCTCCGAGGAAAGGTGTGGAAAGGAGCAGACCACAGCATTATCAGTCCTCCAGTGACAGCTGGACTACAGACAAGAAAAAGAGTTTTCCTGTAGGTAGATATTCCTCGATCCATTCCAGATCTTCAAAATTATTCCACAGCAAATAAAGCCTATTTCCTTAATTCGCACTTCTTTTAAAAAAAAAAAAAAAGTTTAGACCTTTTCATGTTCCAGCAACAGCTGATCTGTTATACCAAGTATTTGCCCCATCTGTTCCTTTTTATGCTCAGAATCTTTGTGTACCCAGTGAGTAACCTGTTCATTTGGGTAAATAAAAATCCATCTTCCTGTTAGCTAATCTGAAAGATATGGAAGAGTTATTTTAATCTCTTACCCATATCACAGACCCCCTTATCCTGGCATCTTATTACAAAGAGCTCCTACTATTTACCCGATTCAATTAGTCTCTCCCTTTCAAAACGAGCTCCTTTCTGGGTGTTCCCACCACCTTATTTGATGTTTGACCACATCCACAAGGTTTAAGTTTGCTAATGCACACAGAGCCGATGCTCTGCAAACCACTTTCCAGAGTCACAGGCTCACAACATCCTAGAGATCCCGAAGAAGTTAAGACTGGCACTTCCTCGCAGAAGTTTTATTTTTAAGTGACCTAGTGGAATAATTTTCAAGAAACATCATCTCATCCAGCCACTCCCTGAAAGTAGAAGCAA